GGGTTAGCGGTCCGCGAATGGCGCGACCTTTATTTTCTGGATCGTGCCTGCTTATAATCAGTGATCGGACTTCTACCACATTGTGGTAGATCTGCCACTTTTTTGAGCATCTAGCACAACTACCACACAAGGTCTGAAATCTACCACATATTCGCGTTTTTGAGTAGTTTTATTTTTGTTCGACATAATTTTCTTAATATTAAGAGGCAAAAATTGTCCAACACTAAACACTAACAACAGGCAGAATGGGAGGATAAAATAAGCCGTAAAATAGTAAATTTTCTCAATATTAAATTTTTCGACAGGAAACGTGGTTTTATTTTGTTAAATTGCAAAATATGTGATTTATAAAAAAGAATTAATAGCGAAAATGTTAAAAAAAAACGGCGATNATTAAGAGGCAAAAATTGTCCAACACTAAACACTAACAACAGGCAGAATGGGAGGATAAAATAAGCCGTAAAATAGTAAATTTTCTCAATATTAAATTTTTCGACAGGAAACGTGGTTTTATTTTGTTAAATTGCAAAATATGTGATTTATAAAAAAGAATTAATAGCGAAAATGTTAAAAAAAAACGGCGATTTTTGTGAACGCATTAGCAAATTGAAGTGCATCTAAGGTTTCTGAGGCGTTGTTTACTTTACTTTTACTTGAGAATTGCCAAAATCGGCAAATCCCAAGTAGCGGTTTCTGGAACGTGCCACATTTGTTCGCTACATCGTGATGTGATAAAAAACAAAAGCTGGCAGCACTCCGCAAGGTTGCAGAAATCTTTCAAAATATGTGCGAAAAATATCTTCATATGGAAGGAACTGCTTTACGCTGTCAAGCAAAAAACGTTGCCAAAACTCAACGCAATTTCAAGCCACTTGAATCTTGCACTTTATTACACTAAAATTGATTTTTTTTAGATTCTAATTAAAATGTTTGAAATTTAGGTGAAACCTTGCAGATTTTTTTAATTTTTGTACAAATTTTGATCCAATACCTGAGATTTACCACATTTTTTTGAAATCTACCACATTTTTTTCCAGATTCTACCACACAAAATTTTTAAGTCCGATCACTGCTTATAATCCATAAGTGCGGCTACCACAACAACAGAACGATACAGAAATACTCGACATTGCGTTGTCAGCCGCGACCATGGATAACTAGATATGAAACTGCCGTCCCTAAATTGGAGCGCTAAGCGTTGCGTTATCCATTGTCGACGAGTGTCAGCGCGCGCTATCCCCAAATCAACGCGTCGTAATTTTTGACGTTTTCTCAGATCCTCTCGTTTTTATTCTCGTTTCCTCTTTCACTTTTTTGTCCTTTCTCTTTCTTTCCGTCTTCCGCATCCAACTTCAACACGTAACGCCCTGTCAAAAATGAAAATTCCATTTGCTCGGCGTTAGCGCCGCGTTATTGTGGGATGCTTCATACAAATTGTATGGGCATGAGGATTTTTGACAGTTGTTTGGCGCTTGACGCGCCAATTTAGGGATGGCAGAAACTCTTTTTCTCGTGAGAGCGCTGTCAAAGTGTATATTTTTTTTATAACATTCTCCAGTAGAGCCACTGTGACGAAAACATGTGTGGGCATTTATAGAGAAATTTATGGAGAAACTTTTGATTAAACACAACGGACAAAAGTTGCAATATTCTTCATATCTATTTTATATTTCACTGTTAATATTGTCAGGAAAATTGCGTTTAGTTACAAATACTGTTTTATAGTAATATTAAAAAATGCGGGAAGAAGAAATCCACTGAATTCAATGTGATGCATTTTCCACACATTTAGTGGTAGCTCGCCACTTCGCGTGTCAGCTGTTTATCTGCCCAGGGATTGGCAGTGCTGCCAAGTACGAAAACGAGTTCCTGGGCGCGCTCTCAGAAAAAATGAGGGAGTTTCATATCTAGTTATCCATGCCATGGCCGCGACCAAGCGCACAACAATGCTCTGCTAGTGTTAACTTGTTAAATTGTATGTTCAGGCAGGTTCTGCAATTCACAGGGGTTGAAATTCACTCGTAAATGAATTGCAGAACCTGCCTGTATATGAGCTTTGTTAAATAAACTGTATATAATATTAAATTATTAAACTAAGTAGAGGAAGAGTGGGAAGGCCAGCTTCTAAAAATCGGTTCTTGGACATCCGCTTAAGAAGACCCCTTTTTCCCAAATATAAGGCAGTTTACTTCATATAAATCCAATAACATAATTTTGCATTATTAATTTTTTTCTTATTCTTACTTTCATTGCTCGTAGCACTAATTTTGGTTTACCATTGCATCTAATTAAATATAAAATGTCGTGGAACTATTATTTGTTGATATAAAATTAAAATTAAACAATAAACAAGTAATTTTTAGCAAAACCATAACCGACTTCAATTCTCATATAAAAATTTAGGAGTACCGTTAATTTCTTCATGATCCAATGATCGGATCTAAACCAAATTAGTATGGGACCACCTGTGAGACACTACCTTTCAGATAGAAAAATCGAAATCGGTTGACGGGGTCAAAAGTTAGATACATAAAAAAACATAGGTTTATTCCGACGAATTGATAACCTTCTCCTTTTTTTGAAGTCGGTTAAAAAATTAATGAACTCAAGCGTTAGAAATTAGTACAGCTAAATACATATTTACTTTCGCTTATAAAAACGATTGAGATAATTTCTTTTTTACATATACAGTGATGAAAAAATAAATACGGACACGACATTTTAACAATTTTTTCCTATTTTTCTTATGTTTCCTTAATAGTTAGTATTTTTTTATAAAAGTATTGCTCATTATTTAACAAAAACCATATAAATTCATATTTCAAACTTATGCAAAAATTATAAAAATTCTGCAAAATTGCATCTAAATTTTAAACTTTTTAATCAGGTTTTTGTGTATTCAGTTTTATAGCCCATTAAATTTATTGTCGAACATACTTTGTATGGAAGAAAATGGTTCAAAACAGTTGCCAAAAATCAACGCGATTTTGGGCAACTTAAAACTTACACTTTATTCTACTAAAATTTAATGGGCTATAAAACTACATACCCAAAAAATTCGTGAAAATCTGATTAGAAAGTTGAAAATTTATATGCAATTGTGCTCAATATTGAAATAGGAATTTATATATAAATAATAATAATAATTTTATAAATAAATAATAAATATTAAATAAACGAAAGAAAAATAGGCAATATTTGAAAAAATATCGGGTCCCTATTTATTTTCCACCACTGTAAGCCTAAGAATAATAATTTAAGCATGTTTAATTTCTTTATTTAAAAAACTACTTTAAACTGATTAAGTATTAAATAACCATTATTGTTAATTTAATTGTTTGTTTTCTACATAAAGTGGATGGTAAGAAATCTTCCTTATTTATTTACACAACCTTCCAAGGTCAGCTATGATTTTTGTATTTATACATATGTTCGTATGTAAATATGTGTTTTTCTTTGTTTGGTCATAAATTCTATCCGAACATTGTGGACTATATATATAAACGCTTCTTCATGTATACATATATTTGTCTTTTTATATCAATTTTTACAAGTTAGGACTACTCATTAAAACTTACATATTTATATGGGAATGTTTTGCACAAAGTCATGAGCGTGATAGAAAGCATCCTTATGCTAACCACACACGAGCCAACCTTCGCGGCAACAAACAAAAATATGAAAGTGTTTTGATATTCAGCCATAACCGTCGCCATGAGAAACTATGCTGCACTAGAAGCAACGGGACTTGGCTGCTTCAACGGTTGCCTCGTGTGCGATCAGCATAACGATATTCCTAACAATAGCTTAGTTATTCATCCAACCTACAACTTGTCAGTGTCAGTGTTGTTTCTTTCTGACTCTCTCGCCCAGCGAATGACTTTTTCGATACCGAGTGCGAGAACCTTATTATATTTTCCACTAAGTTCGACTTATTGTTGCAAAACAGCTATAATCCCTAAAGGCCGGTTTTCACTTTCATATTTTGACGACACATTGTCAATACATTTTGCCATAACTTTCTTCTCTTTAATTAATGCCGATACCGTTTATTTGATTCACCATAAAGGGACACATTATCGATTTAGCAACGGTTGTGCAAAACTGAAGACTTATTTTAAAGCAAACTAACTGGTAAAAAAGCTTTGTGTATTTCGTTATTAATTTTAGACTTTCAAATGTCGAAATAGGCAAACAAAATTGTTTAGACTTTTAAGTAAAATGTTAACAAATATAACATTTACAGACCAAATGCAAAAAAAAAATACAATCAAATCTGATTATCTACTGCTAACCATGTTAAATTTGCCTTGGCCAAATGTTTTCCCTTATTAGACGGCAAATGCACAGTAAGACAAGCCTTAAATATCAACTAACTTCTCCCGCGTCAAAACCGGTGCATTTAGTTTACTAAAACGAAACCAAAACCCAATTACTTGTGAATGATACTACTGACAAATGTCGCACTATGTTTAAAACCTAATATAATGAGAAATAGAGCTAATCCAAATTTTTTCTTAAATAAAGTTCGAGTTATGTCGATTAAAGGAATAATATAACGACCGTAAACGTTCTTTAGTGTAAAGGTTGGAAAAAAGGGCCGAATTTGATCACGTTCAAAAAATCGATTATCTTTCGCTTTTCTTTTTGCTGTATCTCGAAGGCAAATCACGATATCGATAAAAAAAAATTTATTAGATGGGTTGCAATAATGGGGGGGATGGTTTTCAAAATATATATATGTATATATACTTACGTTTTTCAAGTTATTTTTTTTTTTTGTTTTTTCTATAAAAAATTGTCCAAGTTTTAGGTATAACCAGTTATATACTCAAACTTCATACAAAATTTACGAAGATTCAACAAAGTTTCATTAAAATTTTGAGCTTTTAATCTGAATCTTTAAAGCAAATATGGGTATTCAATTTTAGTTAGTCTAATTAAGAGCAAGTTTCAAGTTTTTTTTGTGACCGCTTTTTTTATATAACAAACACAATTTACAAAAACTGACGTTGATATTTTGAAATTTTGTTGCGTACGGTCTTGCGCATTTAATTTTCTAAGAAATTCGTGTTTATATGGAAAAAAGACCAAAAATCCGTCAGAAAAAAAAAATTATTAAAACTCAACGCGTTTTTGTAGCCGCTTGAAATTTACACTTCATTACACTAAAATTATATGGATATAAAACTGCATACATAAAAAAGTTCTACAGATTCTTATTAAAAAGCTCTAAATTTTTATGAAAATTTGTGAAATTTTCCTAAATTTGGCAAAAAGTTTGAAAATTTGATTTATATGGAAAATAACAAAGATCTTGAAAATCATTGTAAATATTTGAAAAAATCAGCACGTGAATACTTGCTCGAGTCACTGTATATATCAACCTTACCAGATATACTTTTTGGGGAATTATTTCCATTCATATAAGTTATATAAATTCCAAATATGACCCAAAATTGGACCTTAAATACGAGTTTTTCAAATATCTCGACTCCTGCACCTTGCAGGTGGAAATTTAAAATTTATCTATGGCCCGATTTGGTTCATATGTATATGGTACAAATCTGTGTTCGTATGGAAATGTAGCTTATGTCAAAAAGCTGGCTTTAGTATAAATCGGCATTCACAGCATACGATTGCGAATGACTCACTGGCGCTGAGCTGTTGAAGAACCTTGGGCAAATAAACGTGCAAGAAGTAGTTTCGATACTAGCAAGTCAATATTCTTATTAAGTCTCATCAAAAAATTCCTTGTCGTTTAAAGAATAAAGGGAATACCGCATTATACTAAAGCCAGCCTTTGGACATAAGCTACTTTTCCATATGAACACAGATATTACTTATATGAAAGGAAATAACTTTACAAAAAAATTAGCCGGCCGGAGTCGGTGTTACATGCATATGTATACATACATATCGTCGTTTATAGTATAAAACCGCCTATCAACAAAATGCAAAACCGCGTATGAGAGGTTTCATAATTTATTTTCTAGGGGGTAAAAACACTCATATATCAAAATGGTTCTATTTTTTATAAAGCAATCGCATTCAGGACGAATGGATAACGGTATACATATTTTGAAAACCATTCACCCTTATTCCAACCGCTAATTATAAAAAAAAATAGAGCTAGCTCTATTCCTTCCCGGTATATTACATTAAAAAAATGCAATTTAGCCCATAGTGCGTGGTTTGTACAATTATACATCTGACTAAGTTACCTTCCCGTTGCTATACTATACACACTTCCTTGCATATAAAGCCATTTGGCCATGTGATAACACTGCTAAAGTGATTACACTGGCCATAAATTGTGATCCCTAAACTTATGTAACTAACTAATTTTCATTGACATTCATTGGCTCGTGCAATGGCCGTTACTATTTCCATTTTAACAGTCATTTTTTTCGCTGCAGGCACTCTCTTTAAATCGGACACAAGAGATAACAGAAACATGCGATCCTCGTCTTGGCCCTCATGATCACTACGTTCGCGATGCTCCAGACTGCTCAGCAATTGAAGTATTTTGGCTTGTAATTCTTTAGATGACTCTTCCAGATGGTAACGCGGCCGTTTATTTGCAGGTTCGGCGGGACTAGTGGTGTTAGCGGGTATTGGTGATGACTTCTCTGCTTCTGCTTCGCTTTCCCGTTCCCTCTCTCGTTCTGCCGTTTCTTCACATTCTCCATTCCCTCCATTTTCTTGCTCTGCAACCAACTCAACGGGGTTAATGAATTCACCTCCTTTATATTGTGCCACTGTGCAGAATTCCGCATTCCATGTGGATTCAGCCGTGTCATCTGTTTCCTTGGCTGGTACTACATCAATACCATTTGTGAGACCATTTGTGACATCGCCATTGATTTCGATAGAGAGGGATTCATGTGGAAAGGTATCGTCCAAAGTGTCCATTTCATCGTACTCGAATCCATCTTGCTTAATAAAGGGTTTAATATCGCACTCTTCAGTCAAGTCTATCAGGTCGCTTAGACTATCTTCATCCTCTTGTACCTCAATGTCCGCCGGTATTGTGGTGTTGTAACATTCCCGCAGCCCCAACTCATCAGCCAACCTGAAACGAAACATTCAAGTAAATTTTTTTGCGATAAGGATTAAGCTGCCTTTAAACTTACTTTGCGCAATGTGCGCTTTTGATATGAGGTATCAAGAACTCTAGTTCGGAAATAATTGGGCTCTCCTTCTTTCGTGCATAATTTTCAACGGTGGCATTCTTTTTGACCTCGCGCGAAATGGAGTCGCGCAGAGTTTTCCATCGACGGCGTACATTCGCTCCTATAAATTAAGAAATTAAAAAGTTTTACAATTACTTTTTATCCAGTATGTGCATATGTGTGTATCTAAATTATTTTAAGCACTATTTAGGAAAGCTTTTTAATGAATTTTCATAAAAATTAAGTACGAATCTACAGTGCAGAAGAAGGAGAAGGTTATCAAATCATCGGAATATTTTTTTTATGTACGTTACGTTACATAACTTTGGACCACGTTAACCGATTTCTACAATTCACCACCTCACAGGTGGTCCCATACTAATTTGGTTTAATTCCAATCATTGGATCATTAAGAAATTAACTATAATCTTAAATTTTTATATGAGAATTGATGTCGGTTTTTTTTTGCTTAAAAATTACATGTTTTATTTTGAAATCAAAAAATATTTAGGGAGTGCTTAAGGCGCTCAATGTTTTCGCTGTATTTTATATGAGCGAAAAAAAAACTTTTCGTATAAACTTCTTGAATATCAATATTTTTCGATCGGAAAACTGTGGTTCTCTTCGGGAGACTTCAAATATTAATATCCAAATGTTTATTTAATCATTTTTTTCCTGCAGGAGCCGCAGAAAAGGCTGCCGTTTTAACACCAACAACAACAACAACGCGGCACAAACTACCAAAAAATAATGCACCACTTGCTTTTACCAAACAGTCCAGGCGGCCATCTGTTAGGTGAAAGCCCCAAAGTAATTGTCCCCAACGGAATTTGCAAAGTGATGCTCAAAAATGTTTGTTCCGGTGGGAGTAGCTTAGCTCTGCAAGGTTCTTACCCCGTTTAGGTCGGCGAAGTATCTCAGAAGTTGTTCGTCCATAGGGCTACATTCACTACGTATTCTTCTACTCAGGGCTGGCATCGAGTCAAACCCAGGGCCAGAAATCTACACCTGCTGTGTATGCCGGAGACGACTACACCACAACTCCACCTCAGTCAAGTGTAATGCCTGCGAGGGGTCACCTTAGAGTCTGCTCAGGACTACGGACACATCGAAAGTGGACCACGTCGTACGTGGCCCCCTGTTGCTCAAACAGAGCAGCCTCCACGGCTAACCTTAGTCCGCCCGAGCAGCCCCACACACTCACACAGCAGCCACACACAGTCACCACAACACAACAACATAATAACACCACAGACCGTACCACAGCCACCACAGACCACATAACACACACAACCGCACCACCACCCACACGCCGCCGCCAACAACTCCTGGTTCCCCCTACAATCTGCACGGTATGTCAGACCAGGATATTCCGTAATGTGACATCAGTCAAGTGCAACACCTGCCTTGGCTGGTGCCACTTTAGGGCATGTTCAGGTCTGCGTACCACGCGAGATTGGACGGGGAACTTCGAGGGCCCGTGTTGCGCTGCTCGGTCGCAGACTTCAATTGCGACGCCCCCCACCACCACCACAGGGCGGCAATCACCTCAGCAGCACACACAGCCAACGGCGGCAAGAACATACACATCCCTTACACCCCACATCACGACACGTCTCCCGAACCACATGAAGCTCCTTCAATTTAACTGCAACGGGCTACAGAGCAAGATTGAGGAGATAACCGTCTTCATGTGTCGGCATGGTATATTGATAGCTGCGGTCCAAGAGACGAAGTTGCACAGCAATTCAACTTTGTTGAATTGCGCCGGGTACAACGTGCACCGTCGAGATCGCGAGCGAGATAATGGTGGTGGCTTAGCGTTCATCACGCACCACACCGTGCAGTATCGTCTTATCGAAGCAGACATCGACCGCAGGGATACCACCCTAGAATGTCAGGGCATCGCTATCCGGTCAGGCGATGTCGAGCTCGAAATATTTAACATATACATACCCCCTGTCACCTGCTGCCCGGCAGGATATCACCCTGATATAGGTGCGCTCCTCAGAGGTGAAAACCGTATGGTAGTAGGTGACTTTAATGCGCACCACGATCTTTGGCACTCAAGCCTGTCAAACGATCGTAGGGGAACAGACTTGGCTGAGCAGATAGACGATTCGACATTCTGCACAATGAACGACGACGCACCCACCAGGATTATGGGTAACTGCAGTAGCTCGCCAGACATCACAATAGTCAGCGCTGGTCTGATAAACAGCATAACGTGGCGACCTATGCTGACTCTAGCATCAGACCATCTACCCATAGTCATCTCGATTGATAAACCAACCGACTTTGCCTCCGCCAAACACCGGACCTATATCAACTTTTCTAAAGCTGATTGGAAAGGTTACGCGGAGTTTACCGAAAACACCTTCACAGCGCTCCCCACACCAACCGACGTCCATCTCGGTGAACGTAAGTTCCGCAGGGCTATCACTGCTGCTGCAGCTCGCTTCATACCGGCAGGGTGTATATCGGACCCACGTCCAAACTTCCCTGCCGAAGCGGCTGTTCTAGCCGATGAGCGTGATAGCCTTCGTCAGGCCGATCCCGGAGATCCCCGTATCAGGGATCTCAACGCGGAGATTCGGCAACTTGTAAACGTACATAAGCGGAAGAAGTGGGAGGAGCATCTGAAGACTTGTAATTTCACCTCTGGTGTGAGCAAGCTTTGGTCAACCGTGAGGTCATTGTCTAATCCGACGAAGCACGACGACAGAGTCGAAATTTCCTTCGGCGACCATGCTTCGTCGGACCCGGAGCGATGCGCGAGCTATTTTAGCCGGCAGTTCATACTGCATCCTCCGGTGGACAAAGCCAAGCGTCGAGTGACCAGAAGGCTGCACAAACTGCCAACAACTTGTGCCCCCCTTGCTTTCACTTGCGGTGAAGTTCAGGTGGCCATCGGGAAGGCGAAAGCCTCCAAAGCCATGGGTCCCGACGGAATATGCATGCTGATGCTGAAAAATTTGGGTCCTGCGGGGGTAGCGTACCTAACGGAGGTCCTCAACTTGTCAATGGCCACTCTCATCATCCCAGACATCTGGAAGGTGGGGAGAGTGGTCCCACTGCTCAAACCGGGGAAACCTGCCAACAAAGGAGATTCGTATCGTCCGATAACACTCCTTTCCCCGGTAGCGAAGACACTCGAGGCCTTGCTACTCCCGTACTTCACAAACCACCTGACCCCAGCGAAGCATCAGCATGGTTTCCGTAAAGTGCACAGTACAACAACAGCACTTAACGCCATAAACACTCAGATAACTCGTGGCCTTAACCGTAACCGTCCCTGTGAGAGAACGATTCTAGTAGCGTTGGACTTGTCAAAGGCGTTTGACACCGTCTGCCATTCCACGCTACTAGAAGATATAGAGGCCTCCTCTCTCCCACAGAGGCTCAAACGGTGGTCGGCAAATTATCTGAGTGGTCGACATTCGTCGGTAATGTTTAGAGACAAAACGAGTAAGCAGCGAAAAATAAAACAGGGGGTTCCTCAGGGTGGTGTCCTTTCCCCGCTACTGTTTAACTTTTACATTTCAAAGCTCCCTCAACCACCAGAGGGAGTCTCGATTGTCTCTTATGCCGACGATTGCTCGATCATGGCGACTGGGAATGGAATTGATGACCTGTGTTCGAAAGTAAACGGCTATCTCTCCGAACTTTCTCGCTTCTTCACTGCAAAGTGTCTAGCCCTCTCCCCTACGAAATCCTCCGCGACCCTGTTCACAACCTGGACGAAGGAGGTCAGGCTACCGCTGGGGATTCACGTCGATGACACACCAATTCCGACGGTGAATAACCCCAAAATACTCGGAGTAACATTCGACAGCCTGCTCTCCTTCTCTGCGCACTCAACCGCTATTGTCAATAAAGTACAGAGCCGCAACAAGGTCCTCAAGTCGCTAGCCGGCAGTACTTGGGGCAAAGACAAAGAAACGTTGCTGGCAACATACAAGGCAATAGGCCGGCCGGTTTTAAACTACGCAGCGCCAGTGTGGTCGCCGGGGACTAGTAGGACGCAGTGGACGAAGCTACAGACTGTACAGAACACCGCACTCAGGACAGCGCCAAGATGCCTCCTGATGTCGCCCGAACACCATCTCCACGGCGAGGCGCAAATGCTCCCCGTAAAGGAGCACAACATAATGCTCTGCAATCAGTTCCTGATCGGGAGCCACCGAAGTGGCCACCCAAACAGACAACTGCTTGCAGAGGAGCCCTCGCCTAGGCACGTCAGGAGGCATCTATACGAACTGCCGGACGAAGTCCAGAGGTTCATCAAGCAACCTCTGGACCCGTCAGCTTACCGACTGGCCCTGAACGGCATTCACAGGGAGTCAGTCTCGAGTTATGTAGACTCTAGACCTGTGAATGCCGTTATAGGCATACCGCCCCCGGACACAGACGAGACGGAGCTTCAACTGCCTCGGGAGACACGAACGACACTAGCACAACTTCGCTCAGGCTACTGCAGCAGGTTAAACTCCTACCTGAGTAGATTGAATGAGGATGTGCCAAATAAGTGTCCAGCATGCGGAGAGACCCCACATGACTCGAAACATCTCTTCGCATGCCCGGAAAACCCGACAAACCTAACGGCCTTGTCCCTGTGGACCAACCCCACAGAAGCTGCACGCTTCCTAGGGTGCCGTTAGTGGAACTTGACGACAACGACTGAGATACCAACCGTCCTGGGCGGGGTTGTTGTAGCCGCTACAACAACAACAACAACAACACTTGGCTGAGCAGATAGACGATTCGACATTCTGCACAATGAACGACGACGCACCCACCAGGAATATGGGCAGCTCCTGCAGCTCACTAGACACAACAATAGACAGCGCTGGTCTGATAAACAGCGTATCATGGCGACCTATGCTGATCTTGGCATCATACCATCTGCCCATAATCATCTCCATCGATAAACCAGAAAGACTTTATATCAACTTTACTAAATCTGATTGGAAAGGCTTCGCGGAATTTACTGAAAGCACCTTCGCTACGCTCCCCACACCAACGACATCCACATAGGTGAACGTTTGTTCCGCAGGGTTGTCCGTCCAAACTTCCCTACTGAAGCGGTTGTTCTAACCGATGAGCGAGACAACCTTCGTCAGGCCTGTGCCGGAAATCTCCGTATCAAGGATCTCAACGCGGAAAGTGGAAAAGACCAATATATACAAGTTTTTAGTGATATATTTAGCCATATTTTAACATATATGGCTAAAATGAAGTATTATGGTTGTATGTATCGTAATATATGGGCAATTTGTGCGTTTTTGTGAGTGTAGTAAGGGAATAAAAAAGGTACAATTGTGGAAATGTTTTTTGTTAACAACTTTTGATCTGATAAAAAGTTAATTTCCGCCTTCGGATTCTTGTTACTTTGTTCCAGACGCGTCTAATCGTACTCCGTTGCCTAAATTTTGATGAATTTTAGGTGTTGAAAGTCCATCTAGATAATTAGGGTACTCTTTATGAATTTGTAAAACGATTTTGGGTTGCTTTGCCAAACGCGTGAATCGAATCAAAAACCTTTTACACACACTTGTAGAAAACAGTTCACGCTTTCCCTGCAAACCATTTTATCAGAGTATTCTGAATCGTAAAGAAATTTTAAAGAATTCGGAAAGATCCCATCCGATTTTTTGCCGATTTTTCTAAAATGAATTAAATTACGCACACTTCCATTCTTTTCCGAAATTTCGGAAGAAAAGCGGTAAAGAAATGAAAATAATGCTGCTATGTGAAGAATTTCTTGCAGACTTTTTTCATAATTTTCTTTATATTTCGTACAGAAATTTCTTTACGAGTTCGTGTCAACCACTTCATATAATTTTCTTTGAAGATTCGGAAAAAAAATCGTTACAGAAATCAGATACTCCTAAAGATTTCGTTAAGATTTCGGGAACTTTGGTTTGCAGGGTTTATTACAAAAATAAAATTTACTATATCTGTGCACTAATTTATTAATAACGTCGGTTGGAAATATGGTATTTTTTGTAAGTTTCCGAGCTGAGCTGTCAAAAAAAAAATATCCACGAAATATCTCTGCAAAAGGTGTTCAGCCCCTCTTCTTTAGCAAAACAGAAAGGAGAATTTTACTTAGTGAGGGTTATAACCCCTAAGCTCGGCCGAAGGCCGCCTACGCAGAAAGGTATTATCTGCAAAATGTGTTCAGCCTCCCTTCTTTGGCAACAAAGAAAGGAGAATTCTACTCTCTGCAAAAGGTGTTCAGCCCCTCTTCTTGGGCAACAGAGAAAGGAGTAGTGAGGGTTATAATCGTTTTGGAAAAAATCCAAAGGGGTCTTGTGGGGGGGAGGGCGCGTGAGGGGTGACTTTTCATAAAGCGGCGTTCATCCTCTTTCGTTTAGGGGGGGTTTGGGGAACCACGCCCCCTCTCCTCCGCCCCCACCCCTAAATCGTTGTACAAATAGCTAAAGATTTCCCTTTTATTTTTGTAATAAAGCTGTTGTCTACAAGTTTTGATTCGATTCGCGCTTTTGGGCACAGCAACCCAAAATCATTATACAAATTGATAAAGAGTACCCTGTTTTACGAAATTCCCAAAGGCCGACATCTCTCATAGGGGGACAAAAAGCAGGTAGGCATCACTGTCCGCTTATGGCAGCTTTCACTGTATATGCATACAGCTCACGTCGGCTATTTTTAAAACTGCTGAAGCCCTCACCTAAGGTTCCACAAATATTTCTTCACATACCGTGCCCCTAAATACAGCGGAATCGAGCAAACAGGTGGCATATATGTAACATATATAATAAAGAAAAATTCCTTTATTTCCCTAACTTTTTTTATGTAACACATCTCTCAATAACCATGGATGTACCATTAAGTTATCGAGTATAAATATATCGTGTAATCCCCAGAACCACCGGCATAACAGCGGAACTTCTTTAAATACATTCGAATATACATATATATGTACATCGAGATGATTGTTAGCGAAGCCACAAATAAGCAGCTATTTTTTGTTTTCGCTTGCATGCACCAAATATTCATTCGGTCATGCTTTAGCTTGGTATGTAGATAGATGCATGTATATATACATATACAGCCTGCCACCACCTGAACGACCATGGTAACTCATTAAATTATGCAGCACAAGGAAAAGAAAACAGAGGCATGAATGTACCTGCTGTGGTTATATACTTACGAATAACGTCCTGATGCTCTGCTTTGTATGTGTCATAAAATGGGAACAATGATCTATAAAGGCGCTCCCATATAATTTCTTTGTGGTTCTTATCACTGTAGCCTTCCGCAAAACTATTGTAAAGAACCTCTTGAGACCGCACCAAACGAATTAATTTCATGGAATTTATTTTCACTTCTATATCACTATTTGATTTACGATTCTTTGCTTTTTCTCGATTTTCTGGTTTGTGTAGATTGTTGGAAATTGTCACAGCTCCCTCCATTTTACAATACACGCGTACGCGGAAAACTTAAAATAACTAAATACGCGTCGCAGCTGCTAGCTGCGTGCAAAATATCTGAACAATACTAATTCCATCTTGCTCACTCCTACTTTTAAATAAGGATGGCCGTGAGATATATCTGTTTCACATTAACTATACGCGTACTGCAAAACTGCTATTAGCAGCGTCAAAAAAACAGCAAGGGGGACAACAAAATGCCAAATAGTTGTGAAGAAACAAGTTTTCATAATAAGAGAAACGCGTTGAAACAGAACAGAGTGACACAGTAGAAAATTAATCATTATGCAATCGCTCGCTGTGTCCTAATATGTGTGCAAAATGAAGCAAGCTGCAAAAATATGCATAGCATCCAAGTCTTTCTTAGAGTTTTTGAATATAAAAGCAAAAGAATTTGATTTGTATTTTGTTCGCGTCAAGCTTGGACGATGATAACACCACCACATCGGCGACAAAAAAACTTTAGCAAAATTCATTATAAAGCGTTCACACTTCAATACATTGCACTAATTTTGCTGGTACAAATAACCAATTAGTTTCTTAGAATGTAAATTACTTTTGTGAAAAAGAGGACTAAATTAGATACATTGAATAGCAAAATATTTGTTATTTACTTACTTGATGTACATTGATGAACCGCTTGTGGAGATGGCTCGCCGCTAATCGCAGGCGATAGATAGCAGGAGATATCGCCCTCGAGCTATCGCAGGCGGTTGTTCAATGTCTGGTTATCACTACTTGCCGGTTAAACAACATTATCGACGGTTTCGACATAATGCATATAACATGTGATCGATAAAGCAGTACTTGTATTTAACCGGAGCTTCTACCTCCGATTTGTGCTCATCAGGCATTGAACAACTGGCCCTTAGGGCCGGTTGCTCAAAGCCTGGTTGACACTAATCTTCGGTTAAACATCGTTATCGACGTTACCGACACCATGTTATTTGAATGGAGTCGAAAACGTCGATAACAATGTTAATCGGTGATTAGTGTCAACCAGGCTTTGAGCAACCGGCCCTTAATTGTGCAGAAATTTAGGGCCGGTTGCTCAAAGCCTGGTTGACACTAATCCCTGGTTAAACATCGTTATCGACGTTACCGACACCGTGTTATATGCATGGAGTCGAAAACGTCGATGTTAACCGACGATTAGTGTTAATCAGGCTTTGAGCAACCGGCCCTTAGTGTTTCTATACTAAAAATGTATATGCTCAAAACCACGTGGATGTAAAGAAATGTACTCGTAAATCTTAAGGCTCCGACAGATAGAATATCTTTTCTGCGTATGCTTTTGACTGAAAAAAGAAACTCACAAACGATAGCGAGACGGCACAATCAAAACGTTGCCGCAACAAAACGGCTTACTTTGATTAGTCAAAAATCAGCTGGTTTGAATTCGTTTCATACATTTTTGTTGTTGCTGTTGTTTTGCCGCATATGCCTGCGTCAAAAGTTAAGAGTTGGGTGAATTTTATCAGTTGCGGCAATGCATGCGTTGCCGATGTATCGTCTTATATTTAAAATCACAGAGTTAACAGCAAAGACAAATATTTTTTTTATATAATTGCCGTATTTTATTTGCTCAACTTCTGCATCAGAGTACTGGGAAAATTTTCCAGCAGTAAAAAGTTATGAATTGGCACAGCAGAAATGTAAAAATGTCTCACCATATTGACCACTAAATTGACTAAGGTCGGTGTTATGCAGACAAACTTTTGTTTGCCAAATTAAATGGCGGCTGCTTAGTTTGCTCGGAGGTGGTTATGTCGAGTTTGGCACAGGGTTGCACGTTCATTATGGTTTTCATGGCTATTGCCAACACGAAATGAGAATTTCAGATGTACATAACGCGCACAATTATTATATTTTTTCTGATATCGTATAGGCAATTAACTGTGCCCTAATCTTTGAAGCTGCTACAGCATAAATTCAGTTCTCTGGCTTTCGGTATCACGGCCATTTTTGTGTATAGCAACATTTGTCTAAAATTGTTGTATATGACAACACCGAATTTTCCGCAGTTTGAGCAAACAGAATTAGTTTGCTGTGAGAGTCGCCAAACTCGCTCTCTCCGAGTTTGCTGCAACAACAATTGCACGCAGTTTGCCAAACAAAATTTCTGCATAACACCGACCTAATACTTTCACCCAAACCGCCCGTTTTTAATTAAGTATAATTCATATACTTTTACAACCGGTTTAACCAGCAATTTAAATGGAAAATGATTTTTTGTCTTCTGCATATAAAATTAAAAAAATTTAAATCATTGGCTGTTACAGTTTTTTTTATCAAAAAGTTGAATATTAAAAAACCCACCGATTTGACGTTTCTTTTAATAATAATAATAGTTTAGCGCTTACAAAATATGTTAACCCTTATTCCTGAACACAAATTTTCGTAATTCGTAGCTACGTTACGAAAAACGAAAAATCCACATGCTGCAACCCTTGCGAAAACATGTCCAGCTTCAGTTGTTTTTCGAAGACAAGTGAATGAAGGAAAACAAAGTGGAAAGGAATTAAAAAGAAAACACTCATGAAGTGCTTTTTATAGTAAAATTTTTTGATTTTACATATTTTGAAAGAAACGATTGATTCTACTGCATTTACAATTAAAGCAGCGGAGTAAGAGCGAGCTATGGGAACTGGTTCTCAATCCAGTTCTTGCAATAACAGCTTCTTTCAAGCCATTAAAAACATGCACTTTGTTAGGTCCAACACCTGTTGCGCTTGCTTCTGCCTTCGACCGCACTTAGGGATTGTAAGGGTAAGTAGAATTCTCCTTTCTGTGTTGCCGGAGAAGAGGGACTTTTGCATGTCAAAGGTATACAACATTTCTTGTCCATATCACTCCGGCTACGCCTTCCACAGTATTTTTGCGCAGAACCCACGTCCAAATTTGCAAAAAAGTGCATAGTGCAAACCGAGTTTGTTAATAAGCTAGTGGTGGGAAATTTGAAACATTTACATATCTTAAATAAAATGTGAACCCTTTAATTACACGTGTATGTTAAAGGAAATTATAATTGACAGCACCGACAAATGAATATATACACAAACAAATGTTCGGTTATGGTTAAAACAATTCAAGTTTTTGTATTGAATTTTCGGTTTAGAATTTATTTTTTCCTGTTCAGTAGGGGTTTTTGCACATTATCTTTGCCGTGAGAATTTATCGTAATAGATACGGATCTGAATAAGCGACTGGAACACGGCTGTTTGTCAAAAGCATACGATTTCGAACTCGCGTAAATATACATTTGCTAAATGCGGTAGCATGAACGCTCTTCGATAACATATGTTCGAAAGTGCTAAATGTTGCATTTTAAATGCAGCAAAAACGCTGCATTATTGCCTTTTTATAATCAAGACGTTGCCATTTTTAACTTTATTTTCATTTTCGATGGTCATATTTAGTCTGTTCCAATAGCAGTCCGGTTTACAGGATTTAGTCAGAACTTACAGGAAGTCGTTCCTATTGACATAAAACCTGTAAGTGGGAACACATTTGAGAGAGTAACTGAGCAACTGTTCCTAGTCAGAAGTTACAGGATTTAGTCCGGAGTTTTTTTTCCTGTAAGTTCATGAAAAGTGTCAAACGATCAGCTGATTTACATGTGCAAACAAAAACAGAAAGCGGTGAAAGCAAAGAACCTTATATTTGTTAAAAAATGGAAGTAAACAACGAAATATTTGAATATGTATAGATTTTAATAATTATTTAGTGATATTTCAGCCAAATCAGTGTAGTACCAATGACATGTAAACAAACCGTCTGACGTTTTTACAGGAAATAGTGCTTTTTGCGTTCCCATGCACTTCTGCATCTGTTCTCCTTTTACTCTCATTTGAGAGCGTAAAATTGTAGTTTGACAGTTCCACAGGTTTTAGTCCGAAGTTCAAAGGAACAGACTAATTGTTACGATTATCCTCGAAACTTTGAGGTATTTCCCAAATATACTCCGGCTCGTATCGCTGGGTTGTTAAATAAATGCTAACGATGACCAAATTGTTGTACAATTAACTTTATTGTACAACAAACAATTTACAATACTTGCTAATACAGTAAAAACACTTTACAATACTTGTTAAAGCAATAACAACGCTTTACTACTTGTTAACACAATTAAACTTATAGCTTGCTTATTCGCAACTCAATTCTCCGCTCACTTTACTTGTAGCTTGCTGACTTGTAACTAACTCACCTCGCGGTGGCGGCGCCCTTATATACCTGCGCTGGCACTTATGGCAACTCTAGAACATTCTGAAGTTTATCGCTCATTCTCTTTCTCTCGCTGTTCGCAGTGTTCATCCAACTTGACGTTTCTCTTTGTGGAACATTGTACGTCATTCCTCGAACATTTTGCCTATTTCTCGTTGTTCGCTTTGTGTTGCCGAAGTATTCGCCACACTGCCCTCCACCTAAGTCTGATCATCCCGATCAGACACACTTGCCGCTCCCACCGCAGCAAGTATTTCCAAGTGGACCACTTTCATCTTGGTCCTCGGTCTACCAGCTGTCTGGATTGGATGCACTGCGTCCTTCAGTCGCTTGTCAATCCTATACGGACCTTTCCAGATACAATGTGGTTCGGAGGTGACGCCTTTCTTCGGCTGCGGCATGTGCGACAACACCAAATCGCCTTCCTGTAGCTCCTCTCGGCTCGATGCGTTGCTGGACATTGCTTCCAGCTTATCTCCGGTGGTGCACCATCTCACATGGTCGTGCTTCTGCCGGCCACTGGTGGTGACCAGACCATGTCTCCTCTTGTGGGCACCCTTTTTGCCAGATCTATGCCGCATCATCTGTCCATGACACCCAGACTCCCGCCTTCGTGCTGCACTGCCTTTAGCACATCTTGCTACATCCGGATCCCCACACTGAAACTTGCCCATTTTTTCGCATCTCGCTCCTTCGCCGGCGTCAACCTCATTAACCGGACATGTATAACCTCATCCTTGGCTTCCGGCTTAATGCTTGCCTTTGGAGACCACCTTTTTCCGGACACTTCAAAGCACGCCTACTGCTCCCACAGCCGCTTCCATTTCCGGCCACCGGATTATCACCATTGCAACGTGCTTCAGTGGCTTTCCTCCTGCCGGAAACACTGCCTGGCTCGCCATGACCACTTCCTTGTTGCGACCTCTTCTTTACTGAGCTGGTGCAACCGTCACGCTTTTCCTGTATCCG